TGCATACCATGCCTCAGGAAATACTGTACCTAAATCTGATCAGTGGAAGAGTCAAACTCACTTATTTTCTAATCTGAAAATAAGAACTTTGGTAATGAAATTCGAGATTAAACTCACATCATAATATACCAGATTACAGATTGCATGAAAACTTCCATCTATATATTAGTAAATGTGGTCACTTTTCATATGTTACCTGAATAGACGAGAGTTGCTTATGGCTAAAACAGATGTTTGCTTTAATAATAACAATACAGGGCAGAAGTGAATTAACAAACATACCACAAGGGAAGAAATTTACATCTGAATATACATGTCTACAATTATCATAGTACATTAGTACATGCTATTTTGACACCTATTCTAGCTGCCTCTCCATATTACAATGACTCAGTTACTTTGGGTTCTAAATAGGGCTACTAAAATACAAAACATGCTATGTCCCAACAAATAAACCACATAAAGGCTTAACCCAATGGCCTAGTTCACACAATATGCTAAGGCAATGGTTGACTTCTCACAAATTGCTAAACTTCAAACTATGCAATCACTCTAGCATGCTACTGAATATAAAATCACCTTGTGAGTTTTGTTTTGCAGGTATCTTCCTAATGCACCAAGTGAAAAGTGGTGGAAACTCTAACAAACATTTAATTCAATTTTACAGCTGAAATGATATGCAAAATAATATCTCAGGGCTAAAATGTAAGAAAGAAATTTAAATTGAACTTCTGATTGTTTTTCACTACTATGAATGGGTTTGCAATTCTGGCAGACAAAAATCTACTCATAGTTGTACCAGCTACATCCATCCCATAAGCCCAATTTACAGTATGGGACTAACTAATTCAAAAGAGGTTTTTCTAAAGTACTGGGTTCAGTTCCCTGTTTTGTAGAAGGAAGTGAAAATATTTCAGGCAGATATAGGTCCATCTCTTCATAAGATGGTCCCGTGAATATACTCCTCCATCTATCTGGGTAACTGATTAATGATCAATATGACTTCAGGTACATGTGTTTTTCCCCTAAGTGTTCTTTGATCTATCTACAGTATGCTACTAAAACTCTTATGTTGGGCAAAATGGTGTATCATAGCACACAACTTTCACAACTAAATGGGCTAACTTACAGATTGTGTCCAAAAACTTGGATCTATAACTCCTGTGGAAATAAAAATTTGGCAAATTTTATAAAACATTTTATGACATAAAACATCATAAAACATTACCTTTGGTCAACTGCTAATGTCTGGTTGTGCTGTACCATTCAACATGGGCTCTTTCAGGGCAGATACATCTCTGAATATCTTACTGAATTTTAAAGAATTTCCCCAGTACATTAAAAGCTGTCCCATTGTTGAAGGCCATAGTTAAAGGAATACAATAAGAAAATATCTCTGAAGAAATGACCCAGTAGATCAAGGGTTGTATTATCAAATCTAAATATGCCCGGATCGTTTGCTCTCTCTTCATAAATTTAGTCTGAATTAATAATTGAGATACCCAGAATCTGAAAAGGAGTCTGAATAAGGCAGAATAAAAACCAATTTCCTATTATTTGGTAACCATCCTTCCATTAAGGTGCTTACAATATGTAGAGCACAGTGCAGTAATCCAAACAGCAGGTGACTAAGACATGAGTGACAATGAGCTTTTGATTCAGGACTTGTTCTTCTTTCATCTCCAATTTCAGAACTTCACTAGTTTTTTGTGCAGTTATGTTGTTTCTTTAACTAGCTTTTTCTTTATATGTGTTTTAATCGTCTTGCTGTCATGTAACTAATGCAGGATGGATGGATGGCTGAAGATCACACCTAAATATATGGCAGTGAAATGGGGTAAGACATAGTTCTGGATCCTGCACAAACATTACCTGGGATAATTGATACTAATCCACTTTGACATTAATAGGCTATTTCTAGCTGAAAATAAAGTGTCAAAGGGATAAAGATTCTTGGATAATTTAAAAACTTTCTTAAAAAAGAAAAAGAAAGAAAGCAGTGGAGGGAAAAAGGAAAAAAGAGGGTGGAACCTGGAAAACGGAGGAGACCACCTGGAACTTAAAAAAAATGATAGTGGAATTTTAACAAGGCTTGCAAAAGATACATTGTAGCTGAAACTTTGTTACAAAAGAACAAAGGCCCTGGAAAGAGAAAGTGAGAAAAGAAGCAAGAAACAGTTTTGGATTATTGGATGATTCCTGGAACTTTGGATGGAGGATCCTAATGAAATAAAATAAAATCAATTGGGGGTTGTTTAAAATTTTTTTAAATGGCATCACTCCTTGAAGAGTTTAAAATGAGACTTAAAGAACAAAAAGAAGAAGCACAAGATGGAAGAGGATGTTTTGGCTTCATATTTCAATTTTTAGAAATGGAGATCTTGAACTATGAAAAACAACAAGAAACACTGGCAGAACAAGAAGGGCGGGACAACGAAGAAGCCATCTTCAATGATCAGGCAATTTTAAGCGGGGTAAAAAAGGGAAAGGGGGGAAAGGGAGTTAAAAACTTCAGTACTGAAGCAACAACCAAAAAAAAAGAGTAATTTGAAAAGTAATCATAATATCAGGAAGAAGCAGAAGGGAGGATCACAGAAGGGAGAATCAGATAGAAAAGGGAATAAAAAGGGGAGGGAGAAGAAGAGAGGGAAGAGGGAAAGGAAAAGAAGCTACAAAAGACAGAAACAAGATATAGAGGTACAGGAAAAATGTACAAGAATTAAAGGTATAAACCTATTTAAAAGACACAGAGACAATGGTTAAAATTTAACTTAAGGAGAGGATTCTGCAAAGGTACATGGGGTAGCATTGTTATATAATATGTTAGATGATTAAAGTGATAGAAAAATTTTATAATGATGTGTAGTGGAATATTTGTTTGTAAAGAGAATAAGGCTCTCAATGGTTTAAAAAGAATGTTTAAAAAAAACTGAAAAGAAACATGGAAAATTTTTATCAGTTGATAAGATGAACTTGAATAAGAATAATAACTTTATTGACTACTGTTAATAACTATTGTTTGGTTTTTTTATTTAAAGACAGTAATAAATAAAATATGAAATATAGATGATTAAAATGAAAGACAACTGATATTACTAGGTAATGTTTGTTAAAAGAAATAGAAATGTAAAAGATTGTTATTAATATTAACGGCAGAGCTGTACTTGAATAGAATAATTATTCCATTTACTATTGTTATACATATATACACAGATATATATATATACATTATACTTTTTTCTTTTAAGAATTTAGTGTGTATTCTAAGGGAATGTACCAAGCAGAATTCGATTGAAAATAGGTATGTGTTATAAAATAGAGGTTAGAAAATGAATGTTATAACTGTAAAGATGTAACTTAAATTTTTAAATAAGATTTGAAAAAAGATACAAAGGTGTTACACTCCAGTCTAGTAATTACAGGGGAAAATTTGTTTTATGACAAAAGATAATATGAAATTATAAACAGGACAGATGAAAGTATAAAAACATTGATTTGAAAGATTTTAAAAATTAGAAAAAGATATGTAATTGAATTAAGAAAGGAATGAGATAATTTAAAATAAGGCTATAGGAAGTAAAGAAAAGGAAAAGCTATTGAAAAAATTGTGAAAATAGTTATAAGATATGGATTAGAATGTATAAGATAAATATGTATTGAGTTTATGTCTGTATGGAGAAGTGATAACCCGGGGCCACGCTGTTCTCAAAAAAAGATATTTTATTTGTATTTGTATGTTTTGTGAAAACTTAAATAAAACTTTTATTTTTTTTAAAAAAAAACCCACATTACCTGGGATGAATGCATTCTTAGGCCCTCTGAGCAATCTTATTTTCCATTATTCTATATACTACATACTGTGTATAGTATTACCTTTCCTGGTCCCCTTCTCTATGATTCTAAATATATCGATCCGTGTTCAAACATAGGCCAAAAGGGGTATTTTTGACAAAGGCAAAGAAATAACCGATTGCTTGAAGATTTGCTTGGGGTTTCAAAAGTTATATCTAAATGGGTACTTATTATCATCCTGTTAATGAATGCTCTTTGGCAGGAGTCCAGGATGAGCAACTGAGGAGGGATGAAGTAATGATCCTCAAAATATTATCTGGCAAACTGACGATACAGCACATTTCCAAACAGTGAACGCCATGCATCATACTAGAGCTTCATGTTTTAAGAGAGGATATTGTGCCAGCCTCTATTTCTATTTAAATGGCGTTTGTTCTTATTTTCTCTACTCTCAAGTATCTTCTATAGAAATAACGTTTACATCACCTCTCCTGCTAATGCTTTCAGAGTGTATGCCTGGAAAAAGAATAACAGATAGTACTACTCTTAAGATACCACTATCTACTTACCTAATACAGCCTTTATTATTGCTGGATCTATGCACTAAGATACGCTTCTTAATAAACCTCTTAGAAAAACATTATTTTGGGGTACTAATGGAAATGAATTATTTTCTTCCTGCTTTTTCACAAAGGGCAAATAATGAAAACAAAATGTCATGAAAGCCTGTCCTTGGATTCTCCTCTAACTGCACGACTGGGACCAAGGAGATCATTAAAGAACCTTCTTTGTACGAAAAAGTATACATTTGTACACTCCTTCCACACAAACAAGGTTCCTGTAATAAGGAAATGCTGGAAACTTTGTGGAACTCAAACAAACATACTTGCTTTTCCTTAAATGCATTTTTGCTTTCTATGCAGCATCAGGTCCAAAATTGTTGGAATTGTATTCACTATCCTTTATGCTTGATTACAATCACAGTAGAAATAAGCTTCAGAGCAGCTTCAGCCCCCTGGGTCTAGTTTATTGCTTTCCTGTCCATGGTGACACAAATAAACCAGGAAGACATACTTCCTTTTGCCCAGAGGGTATACTGGGAGCAGCCCAAAGTGAAGGAAATATATTTTATAAGGATCTTTTTCACTCAGTATGCAATTATCACTCATGGTGATGTCACTTGTTAGTGCTGAAACAAGCACTCAAAGTGGTATTTTTTGTGACTTGCCTCATTGCTCGAGTAGCCTTTCAGTTAGCACTAGGAGCTACAAAGCAGACAGAAATCCAGTTTGTGCCTAGCTTGTAAGTAAGGCAGTTATATCAGGAATTAACACAGTGCTCAGATTTCTTGGGAATGGCTTAGTCTCTGTCTGCTGCTTCTTGCGACACTTCCTCTAGTTGTTCTTCTTAAAGGCAAGTTTAAAAATAATAATAATAGAGGATAGGGTGTTTTTTTTCACCATTTACTATTAGTATCAGTTTGGAAATATTTTTACTCTAAACATGCTACTAAATTCCCTGGGGCTAACAAGAAAAAAAGAGACCCTTTAGTTTTCAAAAGAACACTTTTCATTTTAAATGCATGACAAACATATTATTTTAAAGTCAAGACATTGGAGTCCCAAGTTCCAATCCAACTTGATGAATGTTTCTCCTAAGTTACACTTTTTTTAGTGGAACATAAGAAATGCCCATTTGTTCACAATAATTTTGTTCTCTTTGTGTTCTTTGTTTTTGGACTTTTGGCCTGACAAATGTTGATTTGGTGCATTAAGGAATCAATATTCGCTTTCCAGGACTAGATTAAAGTTGGCAGAAGGCCCAGGACAGATTCACTTAGAAAATTCTTCAGAATACTAAGCACTTATTCCTCTGTTCATGACTCAACATTGTTTGTTCAGTGTTTAGGTCCATGGGTGGGATTCAGATTTCCCAAATATTTGACCTTGTCCCTTCTTTGAATAGGAAACTCAGCTGAAATTTCCGGTATTTATTCATTTAGTATATCTCCAGGCAGCCTTTATTTTAAAAAAAATAGAAGAAAGAAACAAGTGCTGGAATATTGCTCAACAGCTCAATCCAGAATTCCTAGATTGTATTTCTAATCTATTTCTTTTGGTTGCCTTTGTCTCGCACTGCCCTGCCCTGCCCTGAGCTGTGCTGCCCTGCCCTTTCTCTCCTTGTAATTTATATGAACTGCTTACATTATCCATTTTCTGCCTATTTTATCCATGCAAAGCCTGTTTTGACTTGGAAAACAAAATTTAGAAATGTGGAAGCAATGTTTCATAGCTAATATGATTCTTCCCTTTTATTTCTCTTCTGCAGAATGAAGTAGCTATTAAATCCATCTTGACAAATTTCGGGAATTAAGTTGGCCTGGTCTTTTTTCTTTTTTTTTTTTTAAAACAAGTTTTATTAAAAGTTTCAACAACAAACAAATCATTACATATTAAATCTTTCCCTGTCTTTCTACAATAATTTCCCCAATATTCTCATAAAACACAAACAAACACAAACAAACATAAAAAAAATCTTTTAGTAAAGTACCTTGGCCCCAGTTACCTCTCTTTGCATGGGCTAAAATAATAGCACATATCACTGTTCACATTTCTATCTTATTTAATCCATCTTAATTAAATCATTAAATTTGTATCTTTTGCCCATTCATTATCCCTCTATCTCTTCTTATAATAAAAAGAATTTCTCCTGAAATCACTAATCAGAGTATGATGCCTTTCTATCCTCCCCCTAAGTTAGTAAAATTAACATTCAGCATAACAAATACCCAATTTGGTTCTGCTTGGTACATTCTATCCACCAAAAATGTTTAAATACATTGTATCCTCCTGGTCCTGGCCTGGTCTTTTTTCTTAAATTACCCTGCACAAATAAAATCAGATCAGTGCTCTGGGGTAAAAGTTGCATCCATAACCAATGCAATCCATTTCAGTGCCTCCACTGAGGTGGCTTCTGGGGATTATAAATTGTACCCAAGAAAAGATTTAACCTCCAAAATTGTAACTTGAGCAGCCTCAAATCAAAGTCATTCTCTGTTGAATCACACCAAATAAGAATGTTTCCACTTGTGGTTACCCAGTTCCACAAGGCGTCATTGGTCAGCTCGTTTATTTTATTCTGTTGCCAGACAATTAAAATAATCCTGGGAACATATTCCAAATGTCAGCATGAAATATAGCAGTTTTCATGTTGCCTGTCAACTCCAAGCCAAAGACAACTCTATTTTTAGATGGGCATCCCATTCACCCACCTATATAAGGCTGTGCTAGAGCGGTTGGTGCTTTTGTATAATACATACAAGTGACAGCTATTTGAAAGAAAAAAGAACTGGTTTTTCTCACAGGAACAAGAACATAATTAGAGGATAGGTTACTGATATTGATATCAAATCAGTCAATATAAATTAGCATTTATAATAGTGTTTTAATCTTACAAAAGTACTTGCATATTTGTTTCTTTTAGACTATATGTATCCTTCCTATCTGCCTAGTGCCACATATTTTTTTTCTCATACATTAATTTAATTGTTTTAAAAACTAGGGCCAGGCAAAGGATTTTAATGTAAGCGTGTCTTCTATTTTGTTTTTTTTACTCTGCAGCATCTGAAACTAAGATTTTTTAGAAAACAGGTAATACTCACTGGGGGCATTTCTCTGCTGCTCACTCGAACCAACAGAAAACTAAACCAGCATAAAAGCTGCTGTCCTCACTCCTGATCCCTATCTGGTCTTTATAACTACTATTCCAGTTTACATGGGTTCCTGGTGTCCTCATTTCTACTGTGAAGACAGGCTAAGCAAAGCCAATGATTAAAGTATTCTCTGTATTGCATACTATGATGAAAATTTATGTGGCAGTTGATTGCAGTTGTCTGTCCAAATGAAATGAAGCCACTTCCTTTACCTGCAGTGATTTAGCTATTATGTTTCTTTTTCCTGTCTGTCCTACTGCTTAATTGAACCCTTCCCTTGTGCAGTCTCAGAATTAAGTAGCTGTTGGTTGCTGACATAACCAACATTTTAGCCCTGAGAATCGCTAGCTCCAGGTCAAGCTCCCAGCATTGTTCCTACAAATTTCACAATCAACACCCAACAATCCCAGGAAATTGCATTTGTATATCCTCTTAGTAGAGTTTCTCCCTCTTTTTTAAAAAAAATTTCTGGGGCTCTTATTATTTTATTTATCTTTTGTTTCATAACAGTTATGAGTGCAGTAAATTTCTATAAGATTTTATAGGAAAAAGAGGCTTTGACCATTAGATAGCGTTCTGTATCACTTTCCACTTTTCAAAGTTCTTTTCTTTTCTCTTTTAATTATATTAAACATTAATTTCCAGCCATTTCCACAATTAATTGTCTTAATAATAACCAATTCCAGGCAGTCCAGCATTTTATCCAATGCCTAATTAATGGCAATTTATATTATTCAAGATTTAGTCTCTAATTTCATTGTAACTTTTTATACTCCAATTTTGTTTACCTTGTATTTTCCTCTTATTTTCTGTTCGCTGCTGTGGTACTCTTCCGGTGGCGGGACATCTGGTGGCATTTCCGTTGATGACGGATAGAGACCACGATCATGCGTGGCTGTGATCTGTGTTTCCCTTGTTGGAAGGGTCCCCATGGGACCGGAGTCATCTGACCCACCTTGGAGGTGTGGGAGACCACCAGTTGGGTCAATGGGAGCTGCATCTCCCCCCCCCCCCAGCTAGGTATTAATCCCCTGGAAGTCAGGGAGAAATGGCAGTCTAAAATGGCTGCCCTGAAGACAGAAAGCTGCTGGGACCCTAAGTTTTGTGCTGGAGCGGTGAAGTGGTGAGCGACGTGTAATGGGATAGTTTTTTCAGTTCAAATTGCAGAAATCATTATTAGGACATAAACCATTATTAGGAGTTTAAAGTGGTTTAGTAATCTTGACTAATCTGCCCCAAAGCTAAGCAAGACTAGATCTGGTTAGTATTTGAATAGAAAACAATTTTAAAATACCAAAGTTGTATCTAGAAAGTCAAACAAGAAGATGTCATTGGCAAACCAATTCAAATTGTTACCAAAAGAAGTAAATGGACATGAAAATGTAATCACCCAAGAGCCAAGCTTCATATTTACTAAAATAAAGTGGACTGAATGATATAAGCCCTAGCAAAAGATATAACCCCCCTCCCCCAAAATACAGTACATTGACTCTGAGAAGGATAGAAACATCTGGACTGGAATTTGATTCAGATTCTTTGTCTGCCTTAATCTTTAAGGAATAGGATTGCTTTTGAATTACTGCACATAGGTAAGAGAACAGCCCCAAACCTTTGCAGCAGCAGTAGGATCAATAGTTCACACAGCAGACTCCCGAAAGCCTCTTTCCTTCAATACTCAGGGTTACATAGAACACGAAGGCTAACTTAAGGACAGAAATTCCATGCTTTCCATGAATGTTATATCAGAAGGTAAAAGAAGAATAATTTTTAGCCTAGTGGCAGTTACTGGGCTGTATAAAATTTCAAACCCCTAGAAGTCAAAATCTGGCTCTAAAATCATGGCACTGAATATTGTAGATTAGGATTGAATTAAACCCCATGCATAGCATTTTTATTCCTTATTTTCATAGCACCAGAACAAGCATGTATAATTTGACCTGACAAGTGCACACATACAAAGTGATATATATTGGTGCTATTTAGTTTAGTATAGTTTGGTCCATTGTATCTTTAGAGGTAAAGGTTTTCCTGTCCAATCATGTCCGACTCTAGGGAGTGGTGCTTATCTCTGTTTCTTGGCCGAGGGAGCCAGCATTGTCTGAATGCAATTTTCTGTAGTCATGTGACCAGTGTGGCTATATGCTAAAGGTGCACAGAACTCTGTTACCTTCCTACTGGAGTGGTACCTATCTATCTGCATTTGCATGCTTTTGAACTGCTAAGTTCGACAGGAGCTGGGCAAGTAACGAGACTCACCCCAATGCACGATGCTCAGTTCTGAAACCCAGGCTATTAGCTCTCCAGCTGACAAGTTCAGTGTCTTTAACTGCTGAGCCATCTCTCTCTCACACACACACACACACACACACACATGGTATCTTCTTTACTCTGCAGCTAATATCTTAAAATTCTTTGTATGGATTTAACAATATTCTAAGTAAGCACAACAATAAAAAAAAAAAGATTCGTACACTGCTCTTTTGTAAGCATGAGCTGGACTGAATAGTCTTTTCCCTGAAGTTATACTTAAGTTATACTCCATTGTGTGAAGACTCACCCAACTTTTGCACTAACTAGTCCCTGTATAAATGGGATTAGCGTGCTGTATGAACATGAATAATAAAAACCAAAAATGACTTAAGAAACTGAAGAATTGAACAAATGGTAGTAACAAATTAAAGCATGAATTCTCAGAATTCATTCTAATAAGAGCTGAATTTTACTTGTTCTCCTTTATTTTAGTGAGTACCAGTGCAGCTATGACAGTTGGAAAGAAATTTTTATTGAACTGAGATTACAGCAGTAAACAGAAAATCTCATTTCCCCCCATGAAGGCTGTTGTAATTTCTTTCACCCTGAAGGAAATAACCACGTCTGGCCTTCAATCATTCTGAACTCTCAATAAGTTTTCATTAAGTAAGGGCTACTAAATCTGAGCTTCAAAAATCCAGATGTCAACTAGATTGCAGAAAAGAGATACATAAAATTCTAATATTTTGCTTCCATCTCATTCTCACCCGGATCTTACTAAATTGAGCAGCCTTTCCTTTCTTCAAAGAAAACATTTGGAAGGTGGGGGGAGGGAAACTCTTAAATCCGATAATATGATTTAAAGATTACAACCACCACTCCCAAAGTTTTGTTATTTTCAGTTAATGTTTTCTGAGTGGGGAGGGGACTGAATATCATAACACAAGAGACTATCAGTCTTCAGTAACATGTGCAAGACATCAAGTGAGAAAATGAAGGTTAAGATATAGAATTATAATGTAAGCCAAAGCATCGTAAAATAAGACAACACTGCCACCCTGTGGTATTGTCATTCAATTCAAACTTTCTCCAGGATGGAGAGTGAGAAGGAATATTCTTAATGTCTTGAACTTAAATCAATCAAGAGTCAAGTAATGTAAACACCAAATAATGTATTATTTCATCAACTTTCAAGGATGATAGTCCTCTTGATCAAATACATAGAGCATATTCCTGAGAAAACAGTATCGTATCTATGATAATCATTAAAAATGAGGCTTTTAAAATAATACTAGAAAGAATGACTGATATTGAGAGGCTGCATATTCAAAATTAGTTGACAGACAAGTGCTCTAAATCACACTTTTTTACTAAATGTGATTGCTCTCTGTCAGTTTTTTTTAGCTCCATAGAATGTGTCCCACCTAATGGATCGAGGTGGCCCTACAATAGCATATATTAATAAGAAATTGGTGTGAATGGGATGGTATAATTCTGGCAGATATCTGTTCCCCTGGCTCTTGGGTCTTACACCAACTTTGACATTAAGGAAGACGTGTGTGTGAGAAGGAGTAGGAAAGAAAGAGTTAAAGAAAGAAAAATAGAAACAGAGATGGTTTTCCAGGACAACTTATTAGTGATCTGTTATACTTTCTTAGTTTTGTTTTCATCTATCCATTCATGTTATCAGCTTATTCTGCTAAACTGAATTCATTCAGAATAGCAGAGATTTTCCAAATGTTGAGCTCCTCTATTATCACCATTCATTGGAGTGTAAATGTACAACTATCGCCCTCAGATGGATTCTTAATTTGCACCCGCAACAACATAGATACTGATTGGTATAGTCTAAAATATTTTTGATCTTTTCTTTACAGATAGTCCTCAACTTACAATTCCAATTGAGCCCAAAATTTATGTTGCCAAGTGAAACAGTTATTAAGTGAATTTTGCTCCATTTTACAACCTTTTTTTGTCACAGTTGTTAAATGCATCCCTGCAATTGTTAAGTTAGTAACATGGTTTTTAAGTGAACCTGGCTTCCCCATTTGACTTTGCTCATCACCGAGTCACAAGATGTGATCACATAATCCTGGGACACTGCAACCGTCATAAATATGAGTCAGTCACCATGCATCTGAATTTTGATCATGTGACCATAGGATGCTGCAACACAAAAGTGTGAAAAATGGTCATAAATCCCTTTTTTCATGCCTTTGTAACTTTGAACAGTCAATAAATGAACTGTCGAGGACTACCTGCAATTATTAAATATAGACTTTCATTTCCTACAAGCATCTATTACCATCCATCCTCAGGATCAAGTTACTTTCCTTTCAGTCTATTACAAATCTTTTCCTTTTTTTATTTTTACACACACACAAATAATTATTTTTCATTTATTTTTATTCCATGTTTATTAATTCATGCTCCTTACCATTTGTTATTTGATTCATATAAATGAATCTAAGGATTCTAAACCATGTACAAGAGTAACAGTGTTGGAAACCAATAAAAATTTTTTTTTTCCCAATCGTCTTGAGTTCTGACTACTGCCTCATGGGCACAAAAATGCCTGCAGATCTCCCCTTCAATTAATGGTAAGCTTTCTATTCCAAGTTCTCTTTGAATGTTATAATTGTATGGATTCCTTTCCTGGAAAACCTTCCTCAATGCCTGAATATACTTCCTAGCTAATGAGATATAAACATGTTCTAGATTAGAAATATCCACTTGCATAGAATGGCAAGTTGGCTGGAGATAAAACTGGACTTTTGCTTGTGGGATACTGCATTGGCCTTGTTGTTAGCAGCAAATTCTGCATGTAGCAATTGAAATATCCAGGAAAGGAATTCAGTTACATAAATTACATGTTATCTAGTTACTGACATAAACAAGGTATTACATTTTAGTAAATCATCTGGACCTATTTATTTTCTAATTTACTTATTTCATTTGCCTGCTACTCAATCCTAAATGCTAACGAACTCAAAATAAAATATGGAAGAAAATATAACCCAACACTTACATGAAAAAAAAATATCAAAATCAAAAAGTAAAATTAAAAAAATATAGAAAATGCAAAAACTATCCCATTGTGAATGCTACAGACAATTATACCAGACCCTTTTCCTCCTATGCTAGGTATGACGGATAAATCTTGACAGCATTATGAAATTCCAGAGATGACAAAATTTCTATATCAAAATTTGGCTAAGAAGCAGGAGACCATACGTTCTAATCCTTCCTTAGTCATGAAAGCCAGCTGGATAACCTTGGGTTGGTCATTTTCTCTCTCAGCCCAACCTACTTCAGAAATTTGTTGTTGTGGGAAAATAGGAGGAACAAAGTATATCAGATATCTTGGCCACTTTGAATTGTTTGTAAAAATAATAAAGTTGGGATACAAATAAATAGATAAAAATAAAATGTAAAGAGAGTTCCAAAGGTGGGAGCGGCCCAATGACACCTGAAAAAAACAATGAGCCTATTTGATTTGGTTAGACAGAGGCACTGAAAAAATGACTTATGACCATTTTTCACACTTATGACTGTTGCAGCAGTCCCATTCAGACAGTTGGTAACTGACTGATATTTATTATGTTTGCAATGTCCCAGGGCCATGTGTTCACATTTTGTGACCTTTTGAAAAGCAAAGTCAATGGGGAAGACTGATTCACTTAACAACTGTGTTACTAGCTTAACAACTGCAATGATTCACTTAACAACTGTGGCAAGAAATGTCATAAAATGGGGCAAAATTCACTTAACAAATGTCTTGTGTAGCACCAGAAATTTTAGGCTCAATTGTGGTCATAGGTCAAGAACTACCTACATATAAAAATTATATAGGGGCTGAGCACAGAACCCTAGATCATCCAAGCTATAATTATTCATTTTGAGAAAATAAATTTATGAATTCAGAGCAATTGAATTTATAAACACAGATACCCTTGTTTTCAATTGACAAGTAGCCATTTGATGTTGTTATTATTTATTTGTAAAGAAATCTGCATGTTTTTCTGGAATTGCTTTTATTAAATTGTAGGCAACCATCCTGTTTTATATAGATAATATTTTGGAACAGCATTTTTATGTATATGTTATCTTGATTCTACAATCTCTGTGCTAATATGAACCACATCAGCATTGGATTGAATATGGTCTTCTAAGTTTAAATAATTCGTATGGTTCTTGTTAAAGTTAAATGGGTAATCTGATATGAAAACTGAATTTTAGATAAGAGAATCCTGTTTAAAATGAGTTGCAAAAAATCTCTTAAGCTGCTATTTTCTATAAGTCTATGAGCAACATAATGTTGGTGAGTTAATATAATGTAATATAATATAATATAATGTAATGCAATTTACTCATGACTGTCTAGATGTATACATATGTTGATGCTATTAGTAGAACTGTTGTCACTATCATATTGCTTCTAGCTCTTTAAAAATGTTGAATATATCAGTGACAAATTAGCCTTCCCATTCTTGTATCTGGTCATGAATTCTAACAGTTGAAACTCCTAGCACTACTAAACTGAATACGTTTGTATTACATAGCTGTAGATATATTAAGATGATACTGTTGATCTGAAGAAATGAAAGCATCACTGATATTATTTCAGCTAAATTTATATTGCACCTGCAATCTTGGTTCTCCTGCTAAGGCATTAAATGGTCAGTTTAACTCTTTTCTTCAGATTCAAAGTTCTTGTAGAAATATCAACAGCTCTGATGTTGATGATATATTAATTGTATGGATATATTCATTATGCTTTTCTTAACTAGATCCTCATGTATCTTCACAATACTAGCTCAATACATTTTTAGCTTGTGTAAGTCCTAAATAGATAATCCCTTGTACCCCAACTTTAAAAGTCTTGCAGAAGCAGTAAGGAAACATTTTTTTCTCCTAATGATGCTGCTGAAGCAGAGTTGCTTTGTAAGTG